TTATAAATATAATATAATGGGAAACAATAAATTTAGAAATTTTCGGGCTAACGGACAACTGAACCCAAGTTGTCGTATTTCCGATTTCAGTGCAGTTGTGATATGTCCTGGGTTCAGTTGTCGTTTTGGGATTTAAGCTGATTGGCCACCCAATTAAGCTGATTGGGTGCCTGTTAACTGCATGGGAACTAGGTTCAATTGGGTTCAGTTGTCGGTCACCCAATTTTCGCAGAGACCTATCAACGAGGTATGTATTGTCTTGTTGTCTAAATTTGTCTTGCTGGGAGGTTCCACGGAGTTGCTAATTCTACCTTTTACGGTGTGCACACTTACTTAATCAGCTGATCAGCATTTAATATTAGTGTGGATGTTGTTAATAATGATTTTTCCTTTCTATTCGCTTGTTTGCTTTAGTAAATTTCCCGATCACCTAATTGCTCACAGTACAATAAATCAAACGTCACTGATCGAGGGTCGTGAGTCACCACAATTTATGGTTGGAACTCACACTAAGATGACATAATATAATTTGCTGGAGCTGAATGAGCTTATACTCAAGTTCACAACACCTAACAACGCTCCAGAATTTTGTTATTCTAGCGAAAATTCCAGTTCTTCTGCAGAAATTATCGGATAATTATTTGAAAAGAGCAGGAAGTTATAAACTTATATTCTTATCGAGGGCACCCTCTATTGGAAGTAGGCCCTGCACTGATAAGCTTTTGCCGGTTTACCCCGTCACTCCCCGGCCCTGCGGGTGTAACCCAAAAAAACCCAAAAAAACCCAATCCCAGTATTACCTTTTTCAGGGTAGGAGTTGGGTTTTTTTGGGTTTTTTACAAATTTTTTATTTGAAGGAAATGAAATCATATAGGCACCTAGCAAAACAATTATCAGTACAACATCACTGTTGTGGTTCATAACTACAACATCACAATAGATATAATCGCTTAAATATCACCCAAAAGCAGTATTTTATTCACTGATGTGCTCAGAAGAAGTTGGCCATCCAGATATGATATCAGCCATATGTAATGCTCACTTCGATGGCCATGGCAAATTGAGTTAGTAGGGACGCAACTCACTAATGACCCCAACCCTGACCGCAACCGGTACGAGAGGAATAAAGCCTTTCTTCTCACCTTCACGATCTCTGTTTCCGTTTTCCTGATCATCCGCTTAACGAGAAACCATGCTCTATCTCCAACTGAAAGAATCTTGCAGTTACCATCAGCTGCATGATCACATGTGATATTAAGTGATATCTTCGCTTGTTTATGGCCCTGGAGTCGCTAAAATCTTGACTGGGATGGCATTCGATCTCGCCCTCCATTGAGGCAAACCTCAACAGCCGTATCATGATGCAGAGCATCACCATACACAGTTACTATTTTCGCCCATTCCTCTGATGAGTCAATATCCTCCACTTCCTCTTCGTCATCATCTGTTTCAGCTTCGTCACTCTCTGCTCCGTCAGAAGATGGTTTGAAAGCCTCTCCTTCAAAGTTACAGTGTTCTTGAATGAGTTCTCTACCCCTTGAGACTCCCTTCTTCATAGCTTGGAACAATCTTGGGATTGAAGTATCTTTACCTCAAAATAGTTTCTCTGCTTTCGGATGCGGTATAACAAGCTTGTTGCGAGAGTGGGCAACTGTTACAGGGATCAAACTTTTGCCGAGTGCATCAAGCTCGAGGAAACGGTTTGATTTGCCCATGCCAACCAACATATCCTTAGAACACAGATTAGTTCTAATGCCTGCATGGAGGCCTATGCGCAGGAAAGCATAAAGTTTGCTCACAGGCATCGGATGTAAACAGCCAGGGCATAAAGTGTTGATAACTGTTGTCAGCTGTTACACTGAGAATGTACAGCATCAGACCCTCGACTGTAATAATCGCATCATCAAAATTTTTACAGACGTAGGCAGGTGGTCTTTCAATGGTTGTGTGAAGCTTAGGTGGCCCAAGGCGTCACCGCTGGATAGAAGCTGGGTGGAAGCCCTGGTCTGATGTCAGGCTCCCGAACTTTGAAAAGGGGTATCCTGCTGGTGCCCTCTTCCAGACACTCATCGGACAGCATGATGAAAGCCACTACCTCCGCGTGGTGAAGACTGGATACTGGACAGGGGGTCCAGGCTAAAGGAAGGACGGTCGACGGGAGACATTGAGCCCTGGAAGTTCAATAATTTGATCTATTGACTCCTTAACTCTTGGTCTAAAAGAGGCTTTGAGACTCGTAAATCTTTACTGTGGATTGCACAGTAGCTAAAGAGGTGTTGGCTGTTACCCTGTTCAACCTAGTCTACTATGACCCAGCTAGACTGGACCACACTCTGGAAGTCAGGATACGGCTCCCTATGCCCGGGGTACCGGGTAACGAGGTAGTCAGGGGAAGGGTTAGTCCCCGCTAAAGTGTAGCTCTGTTCTCACTCTAACCTCCTTATGCTTTGGGATAAAATCGGAAAGTCCCACACTGGAGCAGGTGACGATTGGGTAAGGATTACAACTGATGCTGTTGGGTAGAAAAAGGAAGTGTCACATTTGTCTTGTTTAGCATATGTTCGTGCAATTACATGCTCAAGATACCCAAGATATTATGGTGAGAGTTAAATATGGCTATTGTTCAAGCGGATGCCCTTAGCCTTTTAGTGGCGCAAGAGTTAAGAACACAATCCACTGCCAATGTGCAGGGGACTGCACAGGATTGTGAGCCAACTGAAAAGTCAAGATGAAGTTTATCAACAGCTGAAGGGTTAAAGCCCCTTATTTTTCTAGTGGAAGTGGTTGCCGGGGTAATTACGCTGCTATTACAGAAGCTGATGACTCGGTCTCCACAACACGACAACCTATTTCTACAGAAAGTCAAACAAGAAAACATCAAAAAAATATGAACATCAATTGCATTGTATCATGTAAAAGGGCTGCTCAGGTTGGCACGTTTAACATAGGAACAGCCAGAGAACGCATCGAACTTGAAGAACTATTTTCTCGACGCAAGCTGCACATCCTTGCCCTGCAAGAATCGAACATCGGGTAGTGCACTAGTGCATGCTGATTGCTGAGAATACCAGAATAGAAAATATGAACAAAGGGATTCAACCAGTGATCTCATCTGCGTGGAGAAACGCAGCTGGCGCTTCTAATGGGAGAGTAGGAATCATCTTGACGAGGAAAGCATATGAGGCTATAAGTCTTATAAAGTTATAAAATCTTACAGCGCAAGGATCCTCACCATGTCTTTTAATGGAAAGCCCAGGCTCACTGTCATCACATGCTACAGTCCTACAGAAGCCTCATCTGATGAGGAGGCAGGAAATCTCTTTTGTCTAAAACCAAGGATCTTACAGTTAATTTAGTAGGAGAGGAGCCACACACAATAATTTCTAAGGACGGACATGCCTTAAAAGAAGTTGAGGATTTTAGTACAACGGAGCACGACTTTAGGTTACGCAAGGCCAAGGCATGGGCTGCCTACCACAAAATGTAGGCTATATGGAGGTCCAATTTGTGCCGAGATTTAAAGATCCGTCTGTCCAAGCTACGGTTGAATCAATCTTCCTGTATGGAACGAAAACGTGGACAATAACAGAATCTTTGAAGAAAAGAATAGACGGATGTTACAGTAGAATGCTTCGGATGGCCCTAAACGTTGACTGGAGGGGACATCGCACCAACAAGGAGGTCTTTGGATCACTCCCAAGAGTTATTTCGAAGATACAGGCCAGAAGAATGAGGTTGGCTGGGCACATCCAGCGACATGATGACCTGGCAGCACACCAACTTCTCCTTTGGAAACCTAGGGAGGGATAGACCACCGCTCACCTTCGTCGATAACCTAATAAGTGACACTGGACTCAAGAACACTGGGGAGATTCAGGAGCTTATGGCGGACAGAAAGCTTTGGAGACACATCATCGAGAGTCGGACTCTGAAGCCGCCTTAAGTCAAGTAATTTAAGTCATGTGCTTTGACTTGCCTTGACCTTCGTCATAGCCTCCTTCCATGACAGGAGAACACATTTGCCGCATTTGGCACATTTCCACTTTGTGCATTCATATGGATTATATCTCGATGAACGAGACATCCTGTTTGCTATCGTGATAACATACTATCAATATAAACACACTTATATACTATGTCAACTATCTATTAAGTTAAGACATGAGAACAACACGTAGGTAAGACTCAGTGGGAAATAATTCACATTCAATACAATTAATGAAATGGCTAGAATTTTGTTTAAATTTTGTTTAAAAAACCCAAAAAAAACCCAAAAAAACCCAATCCCAGTATTACCTTTTCTTGGGTAGGAGTTGGGTTTTTTTGGGTTACACCCCCCCCCCCCCCCCCCCCCCCTGCGGTTAGTTTAAACGCATCTAGAAGTGTCCAATATGTTCTTATCAAAACGCATGGCCAAAATCAGTTTTTGGTAAATAACTGGGATAACTAAAAAATTAGGCATTCTTTAGTATGTTATCATTATGTTGGTTCATAAGTTGTAAGTAAATGTGACCATTGTGGTTAACTTGAGCCTTGTTTTGAGGGCCCAAAGCAATTAGGACTGACCAATATGAACCAATTTTTGGTGGGTAAAATTGAATTAATAGTTCGATGAATGAGCAACGATCTATCGAGGATATCATGTTTCATTTTCTATTATCACAAATCACTCAATCTTAAATTTTGTGCGAGAACATTTTTTATTGTTGCTGTGCCAGTACTACTATTTTCTATTGTTGCTGTGCCAGTACTGCTATTTTCTATTGTTGCTGTGCCAGTACTGCTATTTTCTATTGTTGCTGTGCCAGTACTGCTATTCGGATGGTTTTGCACCACTTGCGTGGTTATAACCTAAAATATTTCCAACAACAACATGTCTATTAAAATGTATGTACGTTCTTCATTGAAGTAGTCAGTAAAACAAGGACATGATACTATGTGTGGGGACTACGGACCCCATCATAACCCATTTCAAATTTGCCGCCTGGTTACATAGCACTCAAATTATTTGTTATATAGTAGTTTTGAAAGTATTAAAACAATGAAGATGCCACGGAGCTGCGCTAACAGTTTACAAATTACACGATAGTATTGCTGCTGCACTAGATATCAGTATGATCATCAAATACCATGATGTATCTTTGTATAAGTTTGCTAAGGTTATGCAACAAACCATGCACCATTTGTGCAAGTTACCAAAGTTTTGAGTGCCACAGATAATTCACAAATAACGGAGGAGAAATTTAAATAATATAATTCTCAAACTTACGTGCTGGTTAATAAGAACAATTCCGATGTCTTTTCTAGCGAGCAGTCTCTTCAAATGGGACTCTATGTCTCCAATAGTAGTATCTAGAAAATATTGATTTGTCAGATAAATGTCTAACATGATAATTCGGAATTTAAATAGTTAGTATAGACCTTAGATGCATTTGGTATGCACACATAATATATAACCGAACACGAAAACCAATAACCGAAGTGCAATGCCAGACGGGATATTAATGAAAAGTCAGTATTCAGTATTGGTATCGTATAGTAGCATCTATTTCGTTGTATTTATCAATTAATATCAAATGTAGATGCCCGGTAAAGCTAAGTCACAAAAAAATTGTTCAAGCTAATTCTAGGTTTCTAAGTATTCGTAATACTATACGAAGTATTTGTAATACTAAGAATTTTCTTCGGTACAAATATTTCCTTATCGTTATAAGTTGATTTGGCAGCCCTCCACGAAACACACCAGTCATTGCAAATAATTTGTATCACGAATTTCAAGTCATTTCTTTGGACGGAAGTGCGATCAAAATATCCCACAAGTCGTGAGTTAGACCTTCGACTTAGAAGATAAAGAGACAGGTAAAGTAATCTGATACAACCCACGAGGGATATTGCTGATAAGGGAGGGGATAAGGATTATCATATTCACATGATGATATCCAACATTAGTTTTGTTTCAGCTGGATGGGTTTGTTTGGGTTTAAGGATAGCTTTACTGCTTTACGTTTGTACAACTATCTGGTTAAGTCGTGTAGTGTTATTGAGTCTCATAGTCTCATTTGATGATTCTTTCAAGAAAATTTCTGATTTTTTTCTGAATAGACTCAGTGATGATAATGTTCTAATGAAGTTGAATAGATAAATCACGTATTCTACGTCATATAGATTAATCAAACATAAATCAACATTCTACGTACAGATTGTACGTCATAGATTGTACGCATAGATTGTACGTCATAGATTGTACGTCATAGATTGTACAATAAGCAGGAACTTACACTACGGAGTATTATTTACCCAGCCCAGGGGACCTGCCCGGATGTTGTATTAATAACACTGTGGGTTAGTAGCTACAGTATTTCCAGCAGCACTAACATATTTTAGTAGTTGCTATCTGATTCTTTGTGTTTGAGTTTTACTTACCGTTAGGTTAGGCACAGTAACATCTAAATATTTGACCAGCAATGATAACCCGATTGGCAAAGTCCCCTGACTATTCCTACTACTACTGGAGTTGGTTAAAAGCATTTAAAACAACCCAAAAACGTCCAAATGTTTAGCAATGCCCTGGGTTGGGGGGGAATGTCCCCGGCACGCCGCCCCCCAACAATAGTTTCCAACTCTACGGCCCCAAGCAAAACCCGGGACGTATTTGACAATACAAAACGTGAAACCCCCAAATTACCCCAACTAGAGGACTCTGATGACGGGTAAATACCCCCCCCAACTGGAACACAACATGGTGTTTTTAGGCCCCGGGAAAACGCCCACGGACAACCTCAAAAACCAAACTAAAACCCCCAAACCCCCGCATAGGAAAAAAAGGTTTCAAACCCAGGGTTTGTAGGAAAGTGGCACCCCTGGGAACACTGCTCCTGGGGCCACACCCCCTTAAAAGGGGGTTTGTTTTTTTTTTAACGGGTTTTTTAAAATGGGGGGCAACAGATTTTTTAAACAAAAGAAGGGGTTTTCCTTTAACGGAGAGGGGTTTGATTTCAGACCCCAACACCGTGAAAGTGATGGGAGTGTAGATGATGGGGTGTTGGGGAACCTAACCCTACATACTCCTCAAACCCCCTACACTCAGCAAGCTAAAAGGGGTTAACCCTGATCATGAAAGAGTAAACCTCGGGCCCTTTAACCCCCCAAAGAAAAAACCCTCTTTTTCCCTGCGATTCCCCCCCCACAGTAAAACACAAAATGAAGGTGTAGGGGAAGGAAAAAACCAAAGGAAAGGACGCCCGGGCAAAGGGTGTCTGCCCTGGATGACCGTAAAGGGCATTTTTTTTGAACTCTGAAGGATACGGGGCGTGGGAAAACACTGTGTTTATCTTTTTGGGGATAAGGGTGGAATGTTTGGGTAGATTCCCCCCATTGGTCAACAATTACCCGCCTTTGGGGTAAACCCCACATACTGGGGGGGGAAAGGATCAGGTCAGTTTCCCTTTTTAAAAAACCCCCCTTTTCAAAAAAGGGGGAAATTTTTAAACAGCAAATTTAATGCACTTTACAGACGGGCAACCTACTACCCACTCAAAAGGGGGGCGTGTGGTTTTGGAGCCCAACTGTACGGAAACCCACATTTGAGGGTATAGACGGGGGTAAACCCAGTGGGGGGCAATAGGGGGGGGAAGAAAAGACTGAGAGGATTATTCCTGGCCAACAAGATCAACTGACAATAACACAAACGGGATGGGTAAAGGGAAACCCCCTTTGGGTTAAAAAGGAAAACCAAACTCCCCTGGCCCCCTGGTCCCCCCCAAACCTAACATAAACCAAACAGTAAAAAGAACACATGGCAAACCCTGGGGGGGGCCCCCCGGGGATTTGGAGAAATGGCAGGGAGATGAGTGGGGGGTCAAAATTTTAAAGGCCCTCATCATAAAGACAGAAAAATTTGTACGATGTGGACCCTGTTTCCGAATCGAGAGAAATGAAGGGGCCAAAGGAAATCCAGGGTTTTAAAATTTTTTTGGAAAAAGACTACAGATACACAAAGGATAAGGCGGGGAACCAGGGAACAAAACTCCAGACCCAAAAGGGGAAACCCCAAAAAATTTTTTTGGGGTTGGTTTTGGAACCCTGGTTAAAAAAACTTGCGGGAGCGGAAACTGTTTAAATTAAAAGAAAAACCCGATTGAGAAAACTTGTTTTTTTGGGGAAAAAACAAATTTTTTTAGAGAACCCAAAAAACCCTAAACTTTTTTAAAGATGCAAAAGAGTTCATTAATTTTAAAATACCGAACTTTTTTTTAATTTTTGCTAAAACATTAACTTAGTAAAAAATATTCCCAAAAATTGTGTTTTTCTTGTTCGAAAAGAAAAATTAAAAAAAAAAATTTCCCCAAACCCTTTCAATTTTGGTTGTCATAACATTAGGGAATTTAAATTAAAACTGCATAGAAATAAATAAAAATTTGAATATGTATATTTATAAATGCATAAAATTTAAAAACAACTTAATGAAGATTTTAAATGTATAAAAACTACTCCCTCATCGTTTTATTTTAACTTTTTAAAATGCTTTAAACATCTCCTAAATTAAATAATTGTATTTTTCTTTTTTAGGGATTTCATTATAATTATTCAAAAAAAAGATTTTCCCAAAAAATTGTGCCTGTTTTGGGTTTTCCCGGTTTTAAAAAAAGACCTTTAATCACTTTGGCTTCATTTCCCTTCTTTTGCTTTTTTGAAAAGTTTTTGAGTTGTGAATGCCAGTAAACTGGGGAACAAAAAAAGGATGTAGCTTGAGGGGGTATCACATTGGTAACCCGGGTTAACCCAGATTGGTAACCCCTGGAAACCCTGGTAACAAAATTGGAAACCCTCAAGAAAACCCCTGGTTTTAAGGGGTAAAGGGAAGAACACAGTACAATTTTAACATGTCAGATACAAGGTCCCAAACCCTCGGAGCAACGCAGAGGAACAGTTTAAAAGGAGAGCCGCGGGAGGGGGAAAGGATGGGAGCTAAACATGGCAAAAGGAAAAAAAGGTCGAAAACAAAAAAGGGCCCTTACCTTCTCATTTGCCTCCTCAGGGATATACCCAGAAATTTAATAGATTCTGAAAACCCTCGTTACCACGGTTTAAACTCTCAAAGCCCTCAATTTTGTAAAACAATTTTCGTTTCACGCTTTTTTAAGACTTATCTTTTTAAAAATATATTTATTTTTGCACCTATAAAATTTAAACATTCAACTTTTCCGGGGTTTGGGGGTTTCCCGCACAGTAAAAATTTTCGGGCAAACTTTTTCCTGATAAAAAATTTCCCGATTACGCCGAGCAAACCCCCCCTTTTTTGCAATTATCTTTCCCTTTAACTGAACGAGGGGAATCTGTCAAAAAGAATTAAGGCAACTTTTTCCCAACTCCATTTTTCCCATCTACCGGGCAAGTAACTCCTGGTTCAAAAAAAATAAAAGGTAAAATTGTAAAAGGGTAAAGGCATTACACTTTTTATACATTTACGGCCCATGTACACTTTTTATAAATTCCCTTTACAGGGGTTTAAACTTCAAAAAATTAACTATTTTAAAAATTCCGGTTTACAAAAATTTAATTTAAAATGGAAATTTTTAAATTAAAAAATGGTGAAAAATTAATCCCACCTGCCCTGGGCGCCCCAACAAAGTGGCAAACTCCCTGCCCTATACGGCAAAGCCCTTTTCCCATTCAAAAACCCCAAAATCCTGATAGAAACCTGGATTTGGACTGCAAATCTACTAACCAGAAAATATTCCTTTCGGGAGGGCCCTACGGAGCCTGAAATTTGGCAACTGCGCTACGTGGAATTACTCCACAGATTTCCACCCCAACAATAACAGAACAGGGGCCCCCTCATCCCCAAACCGGGAACTCCCATGTCCATGTTTTTTTCGCTGTCCCCCTCATGGGGTATTTTTTCCCTTTAACCCTCTAGGCGGAATGGCTAAAATCACCCAAAACCCAATACCGGAAAAACCCGGCTATAAAAATTAACTAAATAGAAATCCCGGGAAAGGGGGCCCCCCGGGACCTGGTGTCAGGGCCAGTCAGACCCGGGCAGTGGAGGCTCTGAAAAATTTGGCAAAGATAAACAGAGTTAAACTACCGGCCCAATCTGAAGGAAGGTGTCACCAAGGTGTGAGCAGGGTTTCCTTTAAGAAGGTCAATTTTCCCGAAATACACAGGAAACCGGCCAAAATTTCCCCCCCGGCCAGGGGGGGGGGGGGGGTACTTTGCTAAATCTTTCATTGAGATTTGGGATCCGGTGTTCCCCCCCTTTTCTTTTAAACCCCAAACCCTTCCCTGTGGAAAACAACGGCACACCCCCTGCCGGGAACAGGTGTTGCCGCGCCCCCGACGCCCTTGGAAACTGATTGCCCCCTCTGCTTTGGCCCCTTTGGTGGGTGTGCACGGTTTAAACTTTGTACCCTCATTTTTGGGGAGACTGAAACCACTGAGGGGGGAAATGTGGGGGCAGAAAATTTGTTTTCCTCCCCATTTTTCATCGGTTTAAAAAACCAAACCTATTGGTATAGAAAGCAGCTGTGAAGATCATAAACGCGTTTGTGTGAATGTTCGGGTTAATTTTTTCCGGAGTTTTTTCCCCGACCATGAAAACGGAACACTCCCCCACGGAATTAAAAACCTCGCCCGGGGAAAAAGGGGAGCTGAAAGGGGAACGCCAGGGTTTTAAACCGCTTTCAAAACGTTTTCACCCTTTCGGTTTTTTCTGCTTTATTTTTGTTGCAGCCGTGTCTTTGGGTTTTCCTTTGCGTTTGAAAAGGAAACTAATGACGCTCTTTTTTGGGCTGAGACTTAGTTTTTTAAGACATTTTAAAATAGAGGGTTCCCCCTCTAACACTTTGAGATACAAATGTTTAAAAAGTACCAAAAGTTTTTTTACTTTTAACAAAAAAATGTTGCGAAAATGAAAAACCAAAGGGGCAAATGAGAAAATAATCAAAAAGAACTGAGACGGCAGACAAGTTAAGTTTGCAAAGTTAAATAACCAAAAAGTAAACCCAAAATTTTCGAGTATAAAGGGTTGTTTTTAAAAAACACTTTTATTAAATCCCCTTTTTAAAGAGAAACATTATAGACGTAAACTTTCCCAAATTTAATTGTTCCTAGCTTTGGGATGCCCAAAAAGCAAAAGTTTTCCCTTTATATTGGAAAAAATTGGGCTTCCCTTTATCCTATGTCCAAAGATTTTAAATCGAGCTAGTTTTTAAAAATTCCCCTTTAATTTTTGAATTTAAGGATGCAGTTCTAATTTCTAACAAAATTAAAGAACGAAAAATGAAAAAACTTCACACGGGATATTCTTTAAATTTTAGTACTTATTTTTAATTTTCCAAATTTTCCACAAAAACACATCAACCAGATCTCACTGTAAGCAGCCAAAAAAAAAAACCAAAACCCCTTTTCCCCAACAAGGAAATTTGGGTTTTCGCTTGTCTTCAGTTTCCCCAATACCTCCCCGTAGGAATGCAGTGCACGTGTCCCTCCCCCTACTAGAAAACCCCCCCCAAAGGGGCTTTGCCATCGTTTCCTTCGCAAAATGCCTTTACCCTTTTTGAGGTACAATGTTTCATTTTTTGGGGTACCAGCAAGTTGTTTTTTAAGGGTTTAAAAAATTGAAAAGCCTTTACGTAAACAGTGCCAAAATATCATAGCCCTTCAATGTACTATCAATTACCCCCAAATAATTTTAAAAAAAGGGTTATTTTTTAAAACAAAAAGCAAATTTTTAAATATTATTTTTAAATTACAAAACGTAATAATTTTTAATGGAAAAATATCATATTATACAATAAAACACAACATAAATTTAAAAATTCAAATAAAAAACAAAATTTTAAGTGTCATTGTTATCAACGAAACAAACTCGTGAAAATTTAAAAATTCAAAAATATATTTCCAAATCAATTTTAAAAAAATTGTTAAACCATGATTTTTTAAATGTTTGGGGGGTATTTTTCCCTTGTAAGCTGAAGCAACCCTTTCACTCATCACATTTAAAAAATTTGTCCCCCCGCATGCATTTGCCCGATTTTCGTCCCAAAAACGACCTCTGAGGAAACAGCAAAAGAACCCTTTTGGGAAAATTTAAAAAGGCCCTTTTTCCCCGGAGTGACCCCCCCTGATGTATTTCCAATTTTTAGATTTTACAAGTACTGAGTAAGAAAAGTCCGAACCCGGAAAAGGTTCCCCCAAAACCGGGTTTTTTCTTCCCCGCATGAGCTCTCAGATGAAAAATTCATGGGACATTATGAGCGATGAAACGTACATTTGTAACTTAAAAAGGTTTTTTTTTTTCCGGTAAAGAAACCTGTTTTGAGTCCCCAGATAAATTTTATCAGGACCACGTCGGACAAGCGGACACCTTTTAAACGGGCTCCAAAGTGCATCTCGATGTCGTTTTAGGTTTAACTTCCCGGGGTCTGTAAAGGAAAAACTGTGTACATCTTTAAGGGTTTACCTGCTTGTGAAACCCCCCCGTGATTTAAAATTTCATTTATTTTCGCGGGGAAAAAGGCAAAATGAAAAATTGGTATTTGTTTGGGGTCTTTTCGTTTTTGCGAATTTGAAGTAATAAACGTTTTTGATAAGCGACTTTTTTTGGTTCAGGTGTAATATATTTACGCGGTTAAAATTTTACACACTATCCATCATTGCAAAATGTACCCCCCTTTTTAACAGATACCCTTTTCTGTACCAGGGTTTCCTCGACCTTTTTTCTCTTCCCCCTGTGACCTATTATTGAAACTTTTTTTTTTTTTAGTTCCCTTCTTACGGATCATCCGAAATTCCCCGGGTGGTTTGGGGAAATGTTCCTTTTCCCCCTTTTTTTTTCAAAAACTGAAGTTGCTGCCATCACAAATTTTTCGGGGGTGTTTTTTAAAAATGATATTGAAGTTTAAGATTTTTGAGATAAGAGTTTGCAGAGGCTCAAGATAGTGGTTTTCTTTGTTTTTGAAGTGACATGAATGATGAATCTCTTCAAACCATCACCTATCGGATTACACATACTCACATAGCATAATATGTATAGAATAAAAGAAAGGCCCGGAATCAGATGTCATCATAATATGACATATTATATATATCTGTCTTAAAGCCTCTAAATTATAGAATAAAACCACGTTCTCTGAAAGTTTATAAAAATTAAAACAAGAATTAATACAAATAAAATAGGTAATAAATATCCCAGTTGCCAACACAAAATCGATCGACAGAAATGCCATAATTACCTCAAGGAACCTAAAATATAGCATAACATTTGGTTATTATTTAAAAAAAACATTTTAAAAAGCTGCGTAAAAATGATCTAAGTTATAATCCAGGTCCTATACAGTAAACAATACAGAATACTGCCAGTCTAAATAGAGAAGTCCCGCAACTCCCGACACAAAATGTCCTCAATACCGTCATATTAAAAAGGGCTAATACAAGGGAGTCTGTTTTTAAGGAGTTGTTTTTAAGGAGCTATTTTAAGGAGCTGGCTAACTCCTATTGTGTCTGTTGCCCTCCCCTCTTCTATGAGTATCTTTCCACTCATCCCAGGCCCTAGCTTTACCTAAGGATCTTCCTCCGTTTCCTCATCTGGATCTTCAGGTTCCACAGGTCTGTTAGGGTGATGAGTGGATTAATTAAGCTAATTAATTAATTAGTTATTAATCAATGGACAATGAACTAATTACTTGAACTGTAGTTAAATGACGATTCTAAAATGCTAGACAGAGGTTGAAACAAAACAATGTTACACGAATACAAATATAAAGATAATACAAATCCTGGCTTGATAGCATATGTACTACAAATGGCTGCTCAGTATAATTGCGGCTCTTACTTGGGTTGATTTAGCTGGCGTTCAGCTTCTGCAGCCATCCTCACCATCTCCTCATCGTAAAACTCGTCTAATGTCATGGTAGGTAAGGAGGGATAACCTGCCCCGAATACTCGCTTCTGTAGTTCTGATTTTACCAGGATAAAGGGCTTCATTACCTGGACCAGATTTAGTGTTATCATAAATTTATTATATACATATAATTAGTGGCATCCTCTACAGGGTGAACGATAAAACAGCTTTAATACACAATAATTTCATGGTACAATATGACAACGATAATATGAATTATACACAATGACACAATTTGATTATATAATACTCTTGAAATAACACTGATAATATACCATCATTTAATATTCGAGTTATATTCAGATTTATAAATGAGCAATGTAACCTTAGGTTTAATAATAGGTCTCTGCTTGACTAGGCCGCCTCTCAGTTTCTCCATGTGTTCTAACATTGGTAGCTCACTGTTGATATTGTACAGTTCTTCTTCACACTTCATTACCCACAGTTTTACGAGAGATAGGTAGATTTCTCGCTGAACCTGAGGGGAGATATTATCAATACTTGGGTACCATCAGCCTAACACTTATAATTTAGAAATCCCTGTCTGTATGGCGCAAGCATGCAGAAAGCAATTTAACCCAGTATGTACGTCATAAAACTTTGTGTGAGCTTAAGAACTCTACGATCTGAAGATGTTTTCCTCTCACACTCTTGACGATGATGCTTTAAAACATCTAGATTATACAATATAATTCTTTTTTTAAATTTGTAAGTTCTAAATTGTGAAACTTACTTCTTCCTCTACGTGGGTTCTGTTCTCCATTTCCTCTAATAAAGTCTCTAACCTCTTCTTATCCTGATACTTTTGTATCTTTTCCATCCTGTTAGATTCCTGCACTGGATTAGTCATCCTGTTTGCGTCAAAATTTGTTTTCTGAGGATAAAGACAAAAATAACGTGATGTTGGAAAGGTCTTGTGTTTTCTTTAAAAGTTTAAACGTGCTGTTGTAAAGGTCTTTTCATGTTTTCATAAGTTCAGAAATAACTAAACTAGGCACACCAAAAAAGGATGCGTTTTATTTGAAATATAAATATTCAACTAAATATCCAGTCACGACACACAAACAATATAAAACCTCAGCAAGACCGTACAGTTGGCACAGGTGGTGAAAGTCCTTGAAATACTCTTTAGCAGCTAACACGTGAGCTTTACGGTTCTCAAAGTCGTAGTGCTGCTGGTGGACAAACCCTTGGAATGCGTTTACCAGCATGAACCTAAAGTTTTAAAACTGGTTTAATTGCAAGTCAGCAAACTCAAATATTTGGTTCCGGCTTTATTTTAACCTACGTATATAATAATCGTAACAATATCAATATCATCATATATATTATTGTGAGATAGATCAAAGTTAGGCGGAATTAATAATAACAATTTATAAGTCTTACTTGATAGTTTCTGTTGAGACATCGTCTATTGTTTCATTGTTAGAGAAGAGATGGAGCGTAGCTACAAGGACAGACAATCTCTCCAAGGATATTGTCGTGTCTATAATCAAACCCTGCAGACAGTGGGGTAAGGGTTTCTGGCACGATTCAAGTTTAACTGTGCTGCACTTTTAGTCCCCGTTCTCAAATAAAAGTTAAACTTAAATGAAAATAATAAACCAAACAACCATCTAATAAATCATTCAAATAAAAGTTGACAGCATTATATAAGAAAATGTTTACACTTCACCTTATATTCCTGTGAAATTCTGGCATCATGATTCTCAATCAGCTGAATATTCTTCCGAACATCGGTCAGCAATTCTCCGAGTGATTGTTCATCAGTTGCTTTGTTGCCGACAGTTGCTAAACTCATTCCACAAAATATCTCATATAATACAAGGTGTCATGTTCTACCTTTGGAAGTATTTCGTTATCTTATCCTGGGCGTTATTGAAATTTCAAGATGCCTTAGTAGTTAGTAAATGCTATCACAGAAGGATCTAGATGCGTTATTTTTCCAAGTTCCATTTCGTGAAACACTTTATTTATGCAACAATTAACAATTATTTACAAATCAATTGAGGCAGAGCATAGGAATGCATAACACGTCCTAGTAGTACAGTAGTACACTAACACGCCAATAACTACACCACCTTTCTCAAAGAGCGAATAAATAAATTGTACTTTCAACAATGTCTCCAGAATCCAGGTTTGATTTTATTATCATTATGTTATAGATAAAAAAGAGTGTAATAATTTAGATTTAAAAGAATTACTTAAAAAATCAAACTGCTGTCGTAAGAAATTTAATTAAAACTGTGACAATAAGTTAATTCTAAAGCTAAACCCCTAATTAAAAAAGAACCGGTGAGCAATTGTGGAAAACTATTACACTGATTTCAATTTTTTAGATTTACTCTTTTTAAACTTGTCACTTGTTTTCGTCTTAGTTTTCTTCGAAGATTTGGTTTCTTCATCAGATAGTGAACTATTACTACGCTTCTTTTTGTTCTTCTTTTTATTCTTCTTTTTATGTTCCATAATAACACTCATCACATTATCAGCATCCATGAACTCAGAGTCAGCGCCACCAATCATTCCCTCAGCTTCCATTTCCTCATCACTTTCAGCCACGTCAAGGTCTTCCCATTCATCTTCCTGAGCTCCTCCTGCAACATTTGAACCAACTTTTTCCTCACCGTCTTCTTCGTCAGATCCTTGGATACTTTCCCCATCAGAATTTAGATTCTCCCAAAGAAACTTTTCGTAAGCCTTGTCGTTGACTTGGACAGTTCCACAGTCCTCATCATCATCAATATCTCCGTAGCTGAAATCAGATCCTGAATCTGACTCATCACCGTCATCCTCATCATCACCCTCTGATTTCTTTTTCTTCTTGTCTTCTTTAGTAGTGGATGTTGAAGCAAACTTGATATCATCAGCAAAGTCCAGAGCATCAGTTTCAGTTGCAGTATCTTCCTTTTCATCCGTATCCTCAACCTTAGCACTGATCTTCTGAGCTTTGAAGTATTCGAAGAAAAACCTTTCATCAGCACTTACTTTGCTGGCTTTTTGTTCTTTGAACTCTGACGAATACACTTGAGGCTGATTAGAATCGACCTGGTTTCTGGAGTAAAATTTCTTGTTAGACGCTTTAACTCCACTCTTAGGATTTTTGAATACAAATTTGTCGAGAAACTTGATCCTGGTAAAATCGTTAAACGGATCTCCACTGTATGATACTTCTCCGTCAACGAGAAGGGAGGAAACAAACTCGTTAACAGAAGGATGAAAGTTCCTTGACAACAGACTGAACTCCCACAAGTCTTGTCTATCTGCGTTGGAGTACAGTGGATTTCTTATTGCTGCACTGTAGGAGTCTGACTTTGGAGGTTTACTTTCAGATTGTTCCAGGTCACTGTCCTTGGGGTTTTTGTCGGTGGGTTCGATGTTACTCGTAGAATTCTTATTTGCCTCGGATATTGTGTACAAAGATGCACATGCAAGAAAGGGTTCATCAAGATTGGAAACTTGCAATAATCTTCGGGAAATAGCCACTTTCCTGGCAACTGATGAGTCTCGTTTTAGTGACTTGTAAATGAGGTTGAGAAGGAATGATTTCTTTGACGATGTGCTGATCGAGGAATCTACCAGCTTTGCGTACAGGGCCTGAAACGGAAATTCGGTTTAACTTACTAACTTATAGTTTAAAATTCTAAGTCCTAAATTTAAAAAAATTAAACAATGCAAGACTTGCTAAAATATAAACTTCAGTAGGCAAACCTGGTAATATCTGTTGCAAATGTCTGATTTGCTCCCTGAGACCTGATACAACAGCATGAGCGCCTGGATAGACACGTTGAAGTTATCACTATACACCAACTTGAACAAGGTATCAACGTTATCTCCAGTGATGGCGTCTTGTGAGGCAGTATAAGGGTAGGCTCTGTTAACACCAGTGAGAAGCCCACCCAACATTCTAGTATCCACATTTGTGTTGTCTATTGACTCTTTGAAGAACTTGAAATAGATCTCGATAAGATGAGCAGCAAATGCACTGTCCTCAGGTGTTAGCTGCAGCTGATTGAGAAAACATATGGAGTAGTATTGAGCTTTTTCTGCTATGTTAGGTCGAAATAATACTCGCTCTACTTCTGAGGCGACTACCTTTTTCATACTTGGGTGATTTTGAAGAAGCTTGGTGAGAATGTAAATTATTTTAGAGGCTAATTTATTGTCCGGGTCACCAATTTTGTTTACAAGAATTGCCAACAATTCCTGTTCTTTTTCAGGCTTTTCGTTTAGCATATGAGAAACCAAATTACAGAGTTTAGTCCTAATAGCCACTTCGTTATCATTCAAGTGGGTTTTGATGACATCCAAATATTCTGAATAACAAGACTTTAATTTGTCTTCAACTAGCCATCCTAAGACAGTCACATTGATTGTCTCTCCTGTCAGAGCTGAGAAATCATGCTGTTCAAATGTGAACAACTTTCTGTTTTCTGGTAGGATAGTACTAAGGAACATTTCTTTCAGGGTGTCGATAGACTGGATGGCCATTCTCTTACTTTTCTTCTTTGCCATTCCCAACAAAGCGTCCAAAGATTTGATATGATGAACAGGAGATTCTTGAAGTAATAGGCAGTGGGCAGATACCTGATAGATTGCAAACGTTAGAGATATGCTAACTGATCATATATACTTGATGTCAACAAGCTAAATTAGAATCACAGCTGCAATTCTTGTCCAACTGTCAGACACGATCTTAAGCAGTCACAAAATTTATGAAACTTGCATAAAACTTCAAGAATCGAATACAAATCGAATACAATACAATATATTAAAAATTTGAAGTGTCTTTACTTTGTCATTTATTGTACCACTTGTGAAAATCGTTTGCATCCACTGTTGATCTGATGCCTGATGCTTATCTCTTAGCTCTGAGCTGAGCTCAACCTGAAATTTTGCTTTAATATTTACATTCATCCCATAAATACTCCATCATGTACATAATATATCAGAATGAAGTATGAATTTCAATGTCCAATTTTAAATCTCGATTTAAACAGAAATATTGTAATTTATAATTATGACACAATACACATGACCAACCAGACAGAACTTATGCTTAGATCAATATTTTCTTACAAAAAAGGAACCAGTATCATCTCAGGTTAGGAATCAGTAATTATAATATATTTGGTGCCAAAAAACCTCGTTTTTCCAGAGTTGCTCAGCATAACGTTTCCATTTCTCAATGCCAGTATAGAGTACATCTGCTTTTTTCACTGGAACATTTGTGTACCTGAGTATTAAAATGTTGTAAGTTTTCAAAAATTTGTAATCAAGCTGCAAAAACATCAATTTGAAACTTTAATAGGATCCCTGAGGTACCTGGAAGATATGATTGGGTCAAACGCTTCAATATAATCCAGTTTTAACGGGCATTTTCTGTAAAAAATAACATTATTTTAAATTTGCTGTCCTTACATTAGTAATATTGGGAAGAAAATCTTACCAGGGTTCATTGGCTTTAAAAATTAGCCGATCGTGTGGGGGAGGATTGGATGGAACAACAGGGCAGATTTTAGGGGTAACCCTCTTATCAATTTCCTCCTTGCTCTCTTCAGATGATACTGTAGGTTTGCCCTTGGCCTTGGACTTCTTAACAGTTTTCATGCCATTAGATTTCATGAATGTAATAAGTTCAGCGACGTTGAAATCTGAATCTCCACCATCAACCACTAATTCTTTTTCATTATCGGACACATTATGTAGCATGTCATAATCCTCTTGTGTCCCACCAAGGTCGATGACATCTTTGAGCATCAATTCCTGTCAACTGAGCACTTAAGTCCCTTATTAGCACAAATATATCTCTCGCATCATTTCAGTGTCAATGTTTAAACTAAACTCACAACGCTCTTAAAATTAAATACATTTATTTGAAAGAATATTATTAGTTCCACATATTCTCCCTAACTATCCCAGTTCATCCGATCGTGCTAGTATAAAAGACAAAATGTATCTTACGCATATTAAATATTAGCACGATCAGTGATAGTGGCTGAAATATACATTTGCTTGTTATACGTAACAGATAGATAATAACATTTACAGAAGAGTAAAAATGTCAAATGACAACATGTACTTTTTCATCATCCGGTCGGAGTTGGGCCTCAGAAATGAACCCGTTTCTTACTGATTACGAAGTCAATGTTGTGGACTGCTAGATCTAACCTGTTTCTTACTGATCACGAAAGTCACTTTGACTGATAGATCTAACCTATTTCTTACTGATCGCGTAAGTGATTGTTGCGGCCGGAGGATTGTTTTCCGGTCACCGGATTGATTAATATTTAATGTTAGCAAATGAATCCGTTTCTTGCTGATCACGAGTGTTGATAGTAATCTCGTTAAACATTTATACTTCATTTGTAATCTCCGTAATCATTTCTAAAGAAATTGTCTTTATTATTTAGTACAAATTATTGTTATGTAACGAATTGTTTTAGCATCATGACAAATCGATTTGAAAATTATTACATGCAATTTCAAATTGTAAAAACTAACTCTACTATAATTCTAGAATAATCTTTGTACATTTACGACCGTCCACGTGAAAGTTGTTAAAACGACATTATTATCGGTTTTGGGTAATTATACTTGTGTTAATTATACGTTGTGTTCATTGCGAGCTATATTTAATGGCTGTATACTCGTCGTGAAAGAAATTTTATATGCGATAAAAACTGACTAAAAAGAATACTATAAGCTTCCCTTTGTGTGGACCACGGCTTTTTATGTTGCTATTAAAATATACAGAAGAATACTTATATTATTATGTAATCCCGTTGGTAAATCTAATTGTATCCAATCGTTGGATTTTAAAAATTTTCAAATTTCTTATT